AAAGCATTTATATGGAAAAAAAAATTTTTTTAAATCGAAAATATTAATGTAGCTCATCTTGTTTTTTTTTTTTTTTTTTTTTTTTTTTACTGAGATATCTTGATATAATATCGATTCAATAAATTTTCCCTTTAATCACATCGATGTGGCAGAGCGAAGATGCGACAAAATAATATTGTAATATCGACGTAAACGGCGAGGAGTGAGAAATTAGAAACGCGATATTCAATAATGAAAGCAGTAAGACATGTTCTCTTCTCCGCGAACTGTCAATTATACGCTTCGTCTCGTATCCTTTGAGGTTGAATTTATCGCACGTATGACTATCTCACGTGTTGTGAATAATATCTGCCTTTAAGCTTACTAATTATATGGCAGAACGATACACACAGACACACATGCAACAGACCCGCATAATGAAACATACATTACAGAACGTGTAACGTTAATTACGCGGGGCCAAAGCACAGAAATGCAATACAATTTCGTGCTCCGCGCGCGCGTTGTGTATTCTACTAGACAATATATATATATATATATATATATATATTTAGATATAAACAATATGTAAATAGATAACATGCTGTATATTTCCGCGGAGCGTCGGACGTATCGGACAAACGGTTTACTTTGAGTTACAACGTGATGCGGTTATCGAGAAGTTTATGAAACTTTAATTTAATATTGAAAGTCTTGTCACACACACATAAATAGTTTGTCCATAAATACGGCTTTTGAAAATATGATCTGCGAATTATTTATATTAATTTCTTTTCAGTAAATAACGAATTTACACAAAATGTAAAAAATTATTGAATTTCTCGAGATAACGCGCGCTATATATATTTAATAATACATGACATATCGCTTAGCAATAGCAACAGAAAGGCAACAACAGCAAGAGCAACAAGTGCGCCAGTCGTAATTATCCCCCATTTCGCTTTACGAACTGTTAACTCGCAACAAATAGACATTTCGTGGGAACTACCAAATCCGAACTGTCAAATATAACGATGTCTGCGTCAAAAAGACGCGCTGTGCAAATGATTTAATCTCAGCGTGAATTACGTGCGCGACGGGGGGGGATATGTGAAATTAATTTTTCTAACGTGTTTTTTTTTTTTTCATCACGTAAACCAAACTTTTACAATTCTCTACTTCAAAACTCGATGCGCATGTTTATACGTAAATAATATGCAATAATTAAATCGAAAAACATCCCGATGAATAATAAGGTTCGATTTCACGACGGGGATGAAAAAGGACAAACGCGGAACAGGCGAGAATGCAGAAGCGGCGCGAAAACGAAGGAAAGCGCGAAAAGCAGAGGAAGAGAGGGAGGGAATACGAAGGATAGGTAGTCCTCAGCAACCCTCACGGTGGCAACATCACCTCCCGGATGGGCATGCGCCACGTTTTGCGCTTACGGGGGAAAGAGGGGAAGAGGGGAAAGAGGAGGAGAGGTTGCTGGCACGATTGCCGGTAGTGTTGCTGCTGCTACTGCTGCCGCTTCTGCCGCGAGCTTCTCCGCGCGCGGCAGAAGCAGCAGTAGCAGCAGCACCACCGGCAGCGCGGCAGCAGCAACCTCCCCCCGAAAGCGCAAAACGTGGCGCATGCCCATCCGGGAATCGAACCCCGCGGAGGCACAACGTCACCGGCGAACCAGCCGCCGGGTACCTCAGTACGTTTGGCGAACAGTTCGCGAACGGACGTATTTCCTCCTCGTGGGGCTCTGGAGAACGCACTCGTCCCGAGCGTAAACACGAGCGTGGTGTTGACACCAAAAGAAAGGAAGAAGAGACCGCGGCTGCGGTCTCGACACGCCGTCGTCGGCCGGAACGACGCTTCACGCGTGAATGCGAAGATTCCGCTATTCTCGCCCCCGCAGGACGAAGAACTTCCCTTTCTCTTGCGTCGAGCCGTCCGCACGCATCCTACGTGGACTAGGCTCGTCTAGAGATTGACGCGCGAGCGACCGTCCATGCATGCACTGACCTCGTCGTCGACGACGGCTTACATCATCGCGACGCATCAAGGTCGTCCGCGCGATCAATGAACGTGGCGCACACCGCCACGTGACCGGACGACCACAGCGCGGACGAAAACTGAAGGCCGCGCGTTTTCGCGATCTCGCGCACGGACGCGCCGGGAATATTACATCCCTCGTCACTCGTGAGAAATATTCGCGGGAATTCGTTTTTTGAACACTGATCGCGCGCGCAAAATCAAAATCAAAAAAAAAAAAACCGATCGCGAAAAAAACATCAATTCTGTTGAAGTCTGTATAATCGCCGATTATAAGACGGAAGCTGCGGATTCTCGGAGAGATATTCTCTGATTTCTCGTCTTATCTGGAGGTTTTTTTATACCGTTGAAAGATAAAAATCTCTTTCCCCGTGAAGAAAGGATCGAACCTCCTTTACGACAGACGGTTTTCTTCTCGATTTCACACGTGACAACGGCGTGTTTTTCCGTCACGAAAATCAGTCGCTGGTTCTATCCGCCACGTTGGCCGAAGATTCTCTGAGATCAATCCTGTGTGTTTCTCCTCTCAGTTTCAAAATCCCAAACAGACACTGATTGTGCGGTGTTAAAAGGACGGTGTTAATGTCTCATCGATATCAAACGCGGACTTTTGATATATTTTCCGGCTATTAGAGAGAGAGAGAGAGAGGGGGAGAGGAAAAGAGACAGAAGATAGAGGAAAAGAGAAGAGAAATAACGCGGAGAGAAAGAGGACGTCGGTGACGTGCAGTGCAATCTGTGTAAAGTAGACTCCGGGGACGCGACGGGGAGGCAGTTAGAACGTGACATGACGAGAGAGTTATAGAGGCCGAAGAACACGGACGAGAGGAAAAGGAAGAAGAGGAAAGAAGAAAAAAAAAAAGAAAACAGCGGGAGACAGACTTTCGTTAAGCTTCCGAAGTGGGAATTGTTGCGTCAGCGCGTGAGAGACCGGTGAGTCTTTACTCTAAGCATTATTACGTAAGAGCTAGCAGTTTACACAGCGGACTGTGTAAATAAAGTTGTTTAAATGTTTGAGATCGGAGAGGGAGGGGAATATATATCTCGGGGAAGTAGGGCGCGTTCATTGTTTATGATCATCTTCGAATGAGCAACAAGTGTTGCTGGCATTGTGTCAGGGCGATCTATTCTTGATATCGCAATAAATAACTCTTTGCTAACATGCGTCCGTTACTTTCGTTATCGGAGAACGAGAAGAACGCGGGCTCAATCCGCGTGTTAATTTACGAAAATGTTATCTATCTGGCCTAATAGTTGCCGCAACAATTGTTGTCACGGAGAGACGGTCTTCCACCGTAATTCTCACCGCAACAAAAATGTATATCTCTGATCGCTTGATTTTTTTTTATATTTGTTTATTTGGAATGGAGCGAAAAATCTAAAAATAAGCGCACCAGCTTTGTAAATTTACTCAAGAGTTGTGTATTGTGTAATTTTCTTCTAAGAAAAACAAAAATGTCGAAGATTTGTGTCGTCCGCTTCAATAAGCGATTAGTTCCACTTGTTACGTCGACGTTAATGAATAGCTACAGTTAAAACATACGAACCGAACGCTTAGCGAACGTTTAGCTTAGCTCCGGATATACCGGTTGGTTCGAACTGAGCGCTTTAAAATAGCACACAATGAGGAGCGAAGACGAAGAGAAGAAGAGTAGAAAGAGCGGAGTGTGACAAAAAGGACCTGCCGTACGAGCATGAGTGACGTTAAGCTGACGTGAGTGGAAAGGCCGAAGTCGTGGGTGGCTCGCGAGCAGGAAAAGGACGGAGCCAGACAGTTGACAAAGCAGAAATATGGCAGACGGAAGGACGTAGCAAAGTGGCGACCGGATAAAATCAAAAAAAAAAACAGAGAGAAAGAGAGAGAGAGAGAGATAGAAGATGTTGCTCTCGCCAAGACGTCGCCGGTTTGCGACGTCGTTCAATTAATATGCGCGGGCGATATAATTCGATGATTACAAATTCAGACAGCGTGTTTGCGCTAACTTAGCGGAATCATGAATTCAGAGTACTGACCATTCAACCGTAAACTCGGTTGATTTATGCATGCGCCGATAAAGTCATCAGTTGCCGAAGTTTACGTGCAGCTTCTGTAACTCTCTCTCGCATACACAACTCGCGCAACTCTTTAATGACGTGTAAATATTTTACGAAAAGTGTAACGTCGTTTTCGCTCTTTAATCGCGTTCAACATTAGCTATACTTGGAAAACAACGTTGTGCAAGTTTTGGATCTTGTAATTTTTCAAATATATTTTTAATATTAAAAATGGACACGTATATATATATATATATATATATGAAAAAACAAGAAATACGCACGTATTCGTGTGTAATACAGATTTTTATTCGTAAATCCCATCGTCAGAAAGACATTTTCTGTTTTTATGTGCGATGTATAAATCGCAAAATGCATGAAATTCTGAAAATCTTCTCGAAAACTATCTCAAATCGCGTTACTGCGGATACAAGAAAAACGGAGAAACAAAAATAATTTGTAGGAAAATTAATTAGATCTTTTGCGGGAGAGGCAATTAATTTACTTGCGGGGGCAAACTTTTTCCCGCGTCACAAGTAGTAGACATGTATATGTGTGTGTATGAGTGTGTGTGTGTGTGTGTACGTGCGCGCCAGAAAATTCGCCGCAGTCGCACGCGACGTTAAGTTTTTTTTTGCGTAAACTTAGTTAAGTAGGTAGCCAGAAAACGGGCGGCGCACATAAATGAACGTTACGCCGGGATAGAAAAACTCGTCCGGTTCTCCATTGAATCCTCCGCAAAGCCGCACGTCACGCAACGGCTTGTTAGGTAAACATCACGCAAATAAATTTCGACGGATACCGAAAAAAAAAAAAGAAGAAAAAAGAAAAAGAAAAAGAAACAAAAAACAGCCTTGATCGTACGCGATAATTACGTGTCGCGGCGAACGAAACTGCTGGAAGGGCTCGCGTAATTCAACGCACGCGGGAGAGTCGTCATTAATTTTCCCGTTTCGCTTAATTAATGCCCGAGTCGCGACGGCTTTCATTCAAGATTCGATACGCGAGATTGGCTCGCGCGTCATTTTAATAAACTGTATATACACGCGGCGTTGCAACACAGCTTATTTCATCGGTCAGATATTGGAAATGTTTGCCGAGTCGAGTATTATTTGATTAATTGCGAATTCACCGAGAAATAAATGGAAAACTAGTATCGAAATTCTCCCCGTGTTTTAAGCAGGCGCGGCAAAGTGGGGAATAAAACCGGCCGCGCGTTCTATCACGCGAATAGCTTTTTATGCGGTTGTGCTTATCACAGTCAGATTGGAATAAAGTTGGCAAGTCCGGTTCCTTTTTCAGTGCGTGGCGCGCGTGCCGGAGAACAGTTTTGCTTTAACTTTTCGAATCGGTCGGCTGGAAATAGCCGACCGATCCCGTTCTTGCGATATTGTCATTCCTCCTCCCGTTTCTTTCGCACGTAACAACATAACGTGTCTATTGGGATTTGCGTTTGCCATACCTCCCCCTTCCCACGTGACGCTTGTTTTCCCGATGAAGAGAATCAGACTGATTGTCAGAATTAATTAATTGGGTTTTGCAGCGCACATTTATATCGCGGCGCAAAAATGCAATTTAAATGGAAATTCCGTGACCCCGATTGAATTTGCAATATTGTATATTGTAACATTTGTTATCCGGGCGCTGCGCGCTTCGCACGAGGGACACGTGTGTATTTTGTAACCCGATAACATTTCCATTCGACGCAATGTTGTGTGTACTGATAATCTGAGGAATGCGAGTTTTTAATTATTTTTCTTGGGGATGTGCCCCGTCACACACACCTCTTCGATAAACACATGTCTGCGCGCCGCAGACGCGGCGGGATGAAAAACGAGGAAGAGAGAGAAACGGATAATACAGTCCGAAACATTGAATGGCAGCCGGTAAACCTTCCCTTCCCTTTGCCCGCGGATCGAGTACGAAAGGGCTTATTCTCGATTGGACAAATTGCCGCCAATCATAAATAATTGACAGACAATCGCAAGGGATTTAGATTTACCAGCTCGGCACGTCCATAACTTCGATACTGATTCGTACCAGCTCTAAACCTTAATTTGGAGTGCGTTCGTCCACATTTATATATATATATATATATATATATATATATATATATATATANTAACTTCGATACTGATTCGTACCAGCTCTAAACCTTAATTTGGAGTGCGTTCGTCCACATTTATATATATATATATATATATATATATATATACACATATATATATATATCTATATATCTATATAGATATATATATATATAACCGCGCGCAAACAATACACGGGGGGAAATCCAATGCCGTGTAGTACACGTTCTATATTCCACACGCGTCACTCTCATTAGGAATACGTTTAGTTGTAAAACGCTTTATGCGTATAAACACGCCGCATTAATATATTTCGTATAATATTATTGATATGTGTGTTCATTTCCAGCGGGTTTGTGTGAAATATCTCATTGAGTTTGAATATGCATCGTGTATTGTGTACGTAGCTTTGCAATATATGTTACACGGCGCGCCTCTCCTCGTTGTTACGTGAATTGCGTCCGCGAAAAATCGTTTCTTTGTTTCATTCAAATTAAGTACTTCAAGATTTTTATGGATTTGTTTTCGCAATCTCGTCGTTTGTGCAAAATAAAATATCGTTTATGTTTACACTACATGAACTTTACGACGCTTCCATCGTTTAACTAATTTGTCTCGGGGTATAAGATATATATAACAATAAGGTATAAAATATAAGGTATATAATACTTGATACAAAATAATCAGAAACGCGTGATCGTACGATCGTCGACTTCGCGAGTACATTACCGTTTATTCCGTAAAAACGATGAGAGATATTATGCCAATCTAGTAGATTTTTTGCGAAAGCCACTGACGTGCAGCTTGCGTGTAGCTCGGGAATTTGTACGGATCGCGCGTGATTCGAGGAACAGACGTCACTGCGCCGTATATCGAGATGGCGAATGCCAAGGGGTAGAAGCGGGCTTGTAACGGGGGTAGCATGCCTCCCGCGCGCGCGCGCGCGCGATCAGATACCAAAGATTACAAACGAAATACCACTGGGCTACTTTTATTTTCGGAATTTTGTCGTAAAAAAAAAAATCGCCGCTTAAACAGACGCGAACCTGTTTCGTGTGCGTATTACCATAATTTCTTAGATAACAAACAGATCGCAATCTCTGAAATGTACACAAGAGACTCTCTTTCTCAACTCGCATAATTCTTTCCTGGATATCAAGAATGGAAACAAAAACCATCCAATATAATATGTGAACGAGAGGAATGGGAGGGATTAGATCAGCGCGCGGGCATGAAAGAACGATAAGAGAGAGCGTGCGTGAAAGAAAGAAAAGCGAGAGAACGACACGAAGAGCACGCGAGAGATTCCGACGAAGGAGAAGTAGAAGGAGGAAGATATAGATGAATAGCACAATGCGCGGGAAGAGAAGTAAAGCTGTCTCTCGAAACGGGGTCGACATAATTGCACCCCCGCAGTCGCACTGCAAGCGGTAGACGGCCGTTAGAGGGGAGAGATGTCGCGAAGGGGTTGAGAACAAGCTTTGCAAGAGAGAGAGAGAGAGAAAGAGAGAGAGAGAGGAGAGTTAGCCGCCGTCCATTGTCTCGCGCGGAGACTCGACCTCCCTCGGCACTGATTAAATACTTGACACATCCCCGCCGCTCGCTTGTCGTGCCGAACCGACATAACTTTGTTCGAATTGTAATTACGGGCCGGATCGGTCATCGCTCGCTTAGCGAGTTTCCCTCCGCAAAACTTCGACTCCGTTCCTTTCAGATCGGCCGGCGCAGTCGGTTTGCCCTCTTCTCCCCCCTTCCGCACGAGGGTGCGCGCCTCTCTCGACTTTCTATAAATGGCGAGCCGTCTCGATACCG